TGGGGTCGCGGGGGGGTCGCGGTGACCGCGGGGGGGGAGGGGAGGGTTGGGATCCCCGCTCGGGGGGGAGGGGCGGCATCGTCAGTGCGGTACATCCTGACCTGCCCCGCCCACGCGGGCAGCACGTGATGAGCGCGGCGCGATGACGTCAGTGATTACGTCACGCTGGGGCGCGGGCTGCGCAACAACAGCCCGCGCCGCCATTAACTCTGACTGCGCCTGCGCGGGGCAAAGGCGGGAAAAACCGCGGGGTCACGTGAGCGCCTCTTGCCCACGTGACTTCCTTATATGGTGTTGGGGCTAAGTGGAGGGTGACGTAACCGGTTTATACTGGTTTATACTGGTTTGTACTGGCACATACTGGTTTGTACTGGTTTACACTGGTTCTTGGTTGTTTGTATTAGCTCATACTGGTTTATACTGGTTTGTATTGGCACATACTGGTTTGCACCAGTTCATACTGGTTTATACTGGTTTGTATTGGGTCTTACTGGTTTGTATCAATTCATACTGGTCTATACTGGTTTATGCTGGTTTGTATTGGCACACACTGATTTGCAGCAGTTCATACTGGTTTATACTGGTTTGTATTGGGTCTTACTGGTTTGTATCAATTCATACTGGTCTATACTGGTTTATGCTGGTTTGTATTGGCACACACTGGTTTGTACTGGTTCGTATCGGTTCATACTGGTCTATACTGGTCTCTACTGGTTTACACTGGCTTAAACTGGTTTATGCTGGTTTGCACTGGTTTGTATTGGCTCATACTGGTTTGTACTGGTTTACACTGGTTCATGGTTGTTTGTATTAGTTCGTACTGCTTTATACTGGTTTGTACTGGCTCATACTGGTTTGTACTGGTTTATGCTGGTTTATACTGGCTTAAACTGGTTTACACAGGTTTACACTGGTTTATACTGGTTCATACTGGTTTACACTGGTTTATACTGGCTTAAACTGGTTTATGCTGGTTTGTTCTGGTTTCCACAGGTCCGTGTTAGTTCGTACTGATTTAAACTGGTTTATATTGGTTTGTACTGGTTTGTATCGGTCCATCCCAGTGTCCGTTTGTCCATCCCTGTGTCCATCCCTGTGTCCATCCCTGTGTCCATCCCAGTGTCCGTTTGTCCATCCCTGTGTCCATCCCTGTGTCCATCTGTCCATCCCTGTGTCCATCTGTCCATCCCTGTGTCCATCCCTGTGTCCATCTGTCCATCCCTGTGTCCATCCCTGTGTCCATCCCTGTGTCCATCCCCGTGTCCATCTGTCCATCCCTGTGTCCATCTGTCCATCCCTGTGTCCATCCC